TTCTTTAATAAAATCGCATGGGCTACAATTCTCTTCATTGGGAACAATTGCAGGACAATAATTGTTGGGATGTTTGTTGAAATTCCAACGTGACGGCTCTTCCAGAAATCCTGTTGTTACAGCCTGCAGAATTCCCCAGCCTGCTCTTCAGGAGCGTTTCTTCATTAGTGTTCCAAGCTTTAATTTGACCCCAGAGAAATCGCTACCTCCTCAAACTCTGTTGTTTTAGTCATGTTGAGTAACAACACACAAAGAATGCACCATAGCAACGGTGTTTTCTTTAATATAAAAGAAATACATAGCAACAGAAACCTGGAAATTTGGGGAGGCTGACAGTACACAACAGGGTTTTTCAGTTCTGTATTTCACTGGGTCCCATGGTGGTGATAAATGGTGCCTCAACTCCTCTGCGTTAAATCTTCCATATTTCTGGAGTTTGGCAGATTTAAAGCCTTCAACTTTGTTTATTGACCTTTTGACTGACATCTGAATCATTAGGCTTACTGCAGAAATATTATGTTTGCTGTTTTAAGTCTTTAAACAGATTCGTAAAAGCACATTGGGGATTTTAAGAATCTGTAGGCCTGAGTGCCTGGTGTTATTTTTTCTGTCTCTCTCTCTCTCCCTCTCTCTCTCTCTTCTGTCCTTGCCTTCTAGTTTCTGAAAAGTGGTTTGCCTCCATATAATGATTCCTTGTTCCTTGTACCAGTGGATAAAGTGAGTTCTGTGTTCCAAAAAAAAGTAGCCGAAGGAAGCCTGCCTGGAGTCTGCTGTGAATGCACTTTGTGGCTTGATAGCTCGGGGGAGAGAGGTGGGCCTTTTGGACAAGGATACTTTCGCATGACCCAATTTAAAAAATGAATTATGTGCCAGGTTCAGATTTTTTTTTGTTGTTGACTTCTGTTTGTTCTGCAGAGACTTGAACTTCTCCACATGCTGTTCTCCTTGATAGGTAGGGTGGTTACAAACCCAGGCTTTTGAGTGTAGCTCTGTAATAATTGCAGTGAGTCCCCAGGGTTTATAATTTGTTCCATTTTGTTTTGTGGTTCTTGAAATACCACCCCTCCCGAAAAAAAACGGAGGGACTGCAGGCTATTTGCATGGGGAATCATTTATAAAACGGATTGAAATGGGCCCATTCCAATCAGCTGAATGGCCTATTCCCACGCGACACGGATTTTATGATTCTGTTCTACGGAACATTCAACTTTGGCACCAGGATTTGAATCCAGACCAGGCAAGATTGGCCTCTGCTGGTTAAGTATTTCTTCTTGAGAAATTTGGAGATTTTCTTTTAATTTTTTTGTTTTGGTTTCCCTATCAGATTTCCTCAGAACGCACTCTGGTGGCCTTTCAGAGGCAGACTAGATAAACAGCATTCCCCTGTCCCTTTTGCAGGTGTGGTTCTGTCTTGACTGTGATGAGACATGAGGAGAGTAAGTATTTTAGGAGAGCAGCACAGGACTGAGGCACTGTGCAACTGGTATTCTGAGGTGGTCGAAACAGACCCTCAAAAAAAAAATGTTGGAAGAGAGAGAGAGGGGAGGGCACTGGAAAAAAAACAGTTGACACACAAAGACTTACAAGAAAAAGGTGTAAGACAGCCAGGAAATAAGTTATATAATAAGATAAAAGATAATAAGTAATAAGATAATAAGATAAAAATAAAATAAGAAATAAGGACATGAATAGGAAAGCTTTAGAGGGATATGGGCCAGGAGCAGGCAGGTGGGACTAGTTTAGTTTGGGATTATGTTCAGCATGGACTGAAAGGTCTGTTTCCGTGCTGTATGAATCTGAGAGCGAGTTAGTTTATCTGTGCAGATGGGAATTAACCAGAGAGGCAGTCAGAGGTCGTTCACTGCGTAGCAAAAGAATTGGTTGTCCATGCTCAGCTGTTGGTGGCTCCATTATTGCATTATTCCCCCATTTCTATGGCCTGTGCCTAGATGTGGGCTGGACTAAGATGTGGGCCAGTCCAGAGCCATCGGCAGCTGAGCATGTTGCCACCTGGAGATAACTGAACCAAAACAAAGCACGTGCCCACAAACTACTGACACCACTCACTCGCAGCTGGCAACCCACAAGCTTTCAATGATCAACTGAGTTGGCCTCCATGCACCAACTATTCTTGTTACCTCAGCTGTGAAATAGAGAGATTACCCTAGACCCACGGAATTAATTCAATCCCCTACAGGGTTGTTGGCGGGAGGTAAAATTGTTATTGAGGATCTGGCTTGAAAAATATTTCTGCGGAAGTACCTTCTGAAGAGGATAAACCAACTTGGCTGAGCAAACGATGGCTTCTGCCTGTCAATCATTCTGCAAATCTGGGCTTTTCATAACCATTTTGTTATTATAATTCCACAACTCCCTTGGGTTGTATAGAACTGTAAATTGAAGGGGTAAGGTTTCGTGTATGTTGTAACAGAAAATCTCTTAAAAACTCATTCATCTTCTGTACATCTGAAGCTGTTTGCATTTAGTCAGGATCTAAGGACTGAGTTTCTTCTTTTTGCGAGAGCTACAACAACAAATCATATTTTGGTCGCGCCATTGACTTAATGGGCCGTCACAAGACGGTCACAGAACCAAGTGTGAAACTGGGCCACAGAAGGAAATCTTAGATCGATGACCGAGCGAGGTTTTAAGGAGCATCTTTTTAAGGAAGAAAGTGACATAGAAGGGCGAATAGGTTTAGGAAGAGAATTCCAGACGTAAGGCGCTGAAGCAAGTGAAGGCAGAGTCACCAGTGGCGTAGTGTATAAAATTTGGGATGTTTGCGGAACCAGAGTTAGAACAGCTGAGATATTTTGGACCAAAACCAGATAACTATAAGCCAAAAAGCTTAATGTATGTCAGTGGGACAAAATGTTAGAATCGATTAAAAGGGATTTAGTAGCAGAGCATTCAGAAATACGCAATATAATCAGACAGAGTCAACATGACAAATGTATTACAGTTCTTTAAGGAGGTAACAAGCAGGATAGATGAAGTAGATGTAATATAGGAGCAAATTACTGCAAGATGCTGGAATCTGAACTGAAACCTTCACTTCAGCTCTGAAGAGTCGGCTAGACTCGAAACGTTAGCTTGCTCTCTCTCCATGGATGTGGCGTGACCCGCTGTGATCTCCAGCGTCCATTGTTTTCAGTTGATGTAATATATTTGGATTGCCAAAAGGTATCCCATAAGGTTCCACACATTAGGCTTCTTAATGAGACCCGACAGTGTTAGTGGTAGCATGGATAACAGATTGGCTAAGTAACGGAAGGCAAACAGAGTTGGGATGAATGGGGCACTTCAGTTCAGGGATCAGTGCATTAAAATGTATGTTAATGACATGGTTGAGGGAAGTCAATGTACTATTCTCAAGTTTGTTGATGACACAAAATTGGTGCGAAGGCAAAAAGTGAGGATGACAGTCTGCAGAAGGAATAGACAGATTATAATGGAATATAATGTGGGAGAATGTGAGGTTATGGTCTTTGTTCTGCACAATAGAGAGGCTGAGTATGATTTAAATGAAGAAAGACTGTAGAAAGCTGCATCACAGAAGGATTTGAGAATTCTTGTCCATGAAACACAGAAAGCCAGCGGGAATAGGGAAGGCAAAGAGAACACTGGCCTTTAATTTCAAAGGGAATGGAGTATAAAAGTCCATCTTGGGCCTCCTCCAGTGCCACCACCCGCAAACTGGAGGAGCAGCACCTCATATTCCACCTCGGGAGCCTACAGCCCAGTGGCCTAAACATGGAGTTCACCAGTTTTAAAATCTCCCCACCCCGGCCTCATCCCATGACCAACCCTCCCTCTCATCCCCGCCTCCTTGACCTGACACAACCTGTCCATCTTCTCTCCGACCTATCCACCCCACCCACCCCACTGACCAATCCCCACCACTGCCTACCTGCACTCATCTATTCCCATCCCACCTACCTTCCCCAGCTCCACTCCTCCTTTATCTATTTATTTCTGAGCTCCCTTCCTCCTCCCCCGTTTCTGAAGAAGGGTCCTGACCTGAAACATCAGCTTTCCTGCTCCTCTGATGCCTGGCCTGCTGTGTTCCTCCAGCTCCACGATGTGTTATCTCTGACTCCAGCATATGCAGTTCTTGCTATCTCGGAGTATAAAAGCGGAGAGGTTTCGCTAAAACTAGACAAGGCCCTAGTCAGCTCACAGCTGGAATGTTGTGAAGAGTTATGGACCCCTTTTCTAAAGAAAGATATACTGGCGTTGGAGGCAGCCCAGAGATAATTCATTAGTCTGGTGCCAGCTATGGCGGAACTGTGTTATGAGGAGAGGTTGAGTAGGTTGGGCCTGTGATCATTTGAATCTAGAAGGAGGAGATGCAATGTTATTGAAACAGACAGAATTCGTACAGGCCTTGATAGAGGATTTTGCAAAGTGGTTATCCTCCCCCTGCAGGAGATTCTAAGACCCGAGGGCATCATTTTGGATTAAAGGGTCATCCATTTAAGGAAGTGGTAAGCATAATTTTGTTTCTCTTTGAGGATAGTCAATCTGTGGTATTCTTTGCCAGAGAGGACAGTCAAGGCTGGGTTGTTCAGTGTAATCAAGGCTAAGGTGGACTGATTTTTAATCAGTCAGAGAATTAATGGTTATGGGAGAAAGGCAGGAAAGCAGAATCGTCGACGATCCGATCAGCTGTGATCATTGAATGGGAAAGCAGGCTTGATCAGCTGAATGGCCTACTTCTATAAAAACTGAAAGAATTGCAGATGCTGTAAATCAGGAACAAAAACAAACTTGCTGGAAAAGCCCAGCAGGCCTGGCAGCATCTGTGAAGGGAAAAAACAGAGTTAACGTTTCGGGTCCGGTGACACTTCCTCAGAAGGTGTTGAGACCTACTTCTATCTTTTGATCGGGTAAGAAAGAATGCAGCATAAATGTGAGAGTGTGGACATTGTGAGGACTGTATTTGAGGTGGAGAAGTGTTCCCAGGTGCTGATGTGATGTTTCTTTTCCTCTGTTCACAGTTGACCATGTGGTTCCAGAGCCTGAGAGCAGCATCCTTGCTGCCTATGAGAAATGGCGGGAGTGGGCAGACAGCAAATCCTGCTGTGATTACTCACTGCACGTGGATATCACCGATTGGAATGAGGGTGTGAAAGAAGAAATCCAGACTCTTGTGAAAGAGAAAGGTGCGTTTAATAGCATACAGCACACAGTGTTTCTGTCCTGTGTCTATATCCGATTTAATGTGTTAAGTTCACAGATAACACTCATTAGAAATAACTTCCTTTTAGCCATCAGTTTATAGCACCAGTGTTGGAGGATCAACAGCCTTTGATTTGACTCCTGTCTTGTTTCTTTTTTGCCTTTCCCAGTGGTGCTGATCAGTTCACTTCCTCAAAGAGCTTTTATTTTATTTTCTAGCCCCTGCATCTGTTCCTCATTGTCCAAGTCTCAGTCTCTATATATTGTATAAAAACCGAAAGACCTGCGGATGCTGTAAATCAGGAACAAAAACAAAGTTGCTGGAAAAGCTCAGCAGGTCTGGCAGCATCTGTGAAGGGAAAAGCAGAGTTAACATTTCAGGCCCAGTGACCCTTCCTCAGAACTTCCTCAGTTCTGAGGAAGAGTGACTGGACCCGAAACATTAACTCTGTTTTTTTCTCCTTCACAGATGCTGCCAGACCTGCTGAGCTTTTCCAGCAACTTTGCTTTTGCTCTATATATTGTAATTTCTTTCTGTCTTGAAGTTTACACTTCTTTTTCTGTGTTTATCTCTGTCTGTCTGTCTGCCTCCTTCCCTCCCTCTTCCGGTTATATGCTCTTCCACCCTGTTCTGTTGGGCAGAAGATGTAAAAGTTTGAATACATATATGAATAAATTCAAGAACAGCTTCTTCCCTGCTGTTAGCAGATTTCTGAACAGAACTCTCAAATATTAATTCTGTTCTCTCTCTTTGCACCTTCAACACTGTATTCTGCACTCTTTTCATAGAATCCCTACAGTGTAGGAACAGGCCATTCAGCTCAACATGTCCACACTACCCATCCAAAGATCATCCCACCCAGATCCATCCCTATCCCCCTGCCCTTGCCCTGTATTTCCTATGTCTAATCCACCTAACTTACACACCCCTGGACACTATGGGCAATTTCCCATGGCCAACCCATCTAACCTGCACATCTTTGGACTGTGGGAGGAAACCGGAGCACCCGGAGGAAACCCACACAGACACAGGGAGAATGTGTAAACTCCACACCAGACAGTTGCCCGAGGGTGGATTTGAACCCGGGTCTGTGATGCAGCAGCGCTAACCACTGAGCCACCATGCCACCCTGTTCTGCTGCCCTGATGCACTTTGTATGGCACCATCTGCCTGTAGAGCACGCAAACCAACATTTTTCACTGTATCTCGGTACATGTGACAATCAGTCAAAAAATAATTAATCAATACTCTTTCCCCGCCCTACGCAATATCTCTGAATCAATCTCCCACTGCCCCTTTATCTATTTTAACTGACTGCACAGTAGTCCTGGTAAGAGATTTCCCTGTGATACAGGTCAGGCTTGCTGAGGCATCTTACGGAGATAAGCCTAGTTTGGGCTTTGAACCTCAAACATTCGGGACAAGCATTGTACTGTGGACTGCATAAGTTAGCCTGTCAACCAGCGGCAAAAGCAATATTGAGTTGCTGTTGGTAACTGAAGAGGAGTTTATAACAATGTAGACTTAATGGCCCAAAGGGCCTTTTCTCTACAGTAGACCTCTGTATAGGGAGTAGCTGTTTCCAGTGCTAGGGACATCAGTAACTGTAGGATACCAGAAGGGAGATGCCAATTAGTTAGCACAGTGAATAGTCCTGATTTGGAATGCTCTGCCTGAAAGGGTTGGATCAGATTTCAGAATTGAATAGAAGGATAATTCTGTAGTGCTTGTTGGACTATTGTGCAGAAAAAGGAGTGGAGGAGGACTAATTTGAGGGCTTTGTAGAGAGAGCACAGTCATAATAGGCTGAATGTCCTCCTGCGCTATATTTCTATGGTTCTACATGTGTTGGAGCAGTGGTTTGGTATTGCATAGTGAGCCTTTAAAGCCTGTACAATATAACAGCAGATTGATTCAATGTTCTGCTCTTTCCTGCGCACCAAAGGAATCATTGTTTTACAGGCCCCAGAGGGCCAAGTTAAAGTGGAGGACTTGGCAGCCTGACAAAGCTGACCTGATGTGTACCCTAGGATATCTTAAATTGGAACAGTATTCAAAACACTAATACTGTAGGGAAGGAATTTTAACTTCCAATTACAGGCAGGTTGAATTATAGAAAGTTAGCGTGCAGGTACAGCAAGTAAAGGCAAAGAGAAAGTTGGGTTTTATTGCAAGGGGAACAGGCTGTAAAAATAGTGAAGTCTTGCTACAGTTGTACAGGTTACTTGCAAGTCAGCGTCTGGAGTACTGTGTTGCTGTTTTGATCTCACTAAAGGAGGTCTATACTTGCATTGGAAATGGCTCAGAGAATGTTCATGTCACCTTTTCCCTGGAATGAAAATGTTACCTTTTTAAGAGGAAAAAAAATTGAACCAGTACAGATTACAGATGGAGGGTTTTCATTGTTGAAATCTACACCATTAGGACGGAGCTTGGCCAGGCCAATGTCGAAGAATGCTTCCCTTCATGCGCGGTGACCAAAACACTCTGGAGGTGGGTGGGGGACGCTATAGGGTGGGGGATATTATGAGCCAGGGGTGGGTGCTGCCCAGATTGTGTTTGGGCACTGGGGGGACGGGGAGTGAGGTGTTGAAGTGGGGTGCTTCCTGCACTTTTTTGTAAAGCTAAAGGTCGAAGACGCAGGGCATCCCAGCCGCTAGCACCTTTTCCGCACAAAATGGAAAGGAAAAATCAGCAAAAATTGCAGATGATATATTAGGACAGCATAGTGGCTCAGCAATTTGCACTGCTGCCTCACAGCTCCAGGGCCCTGGGTTCGATTCCAGCCTCAGGTGACTGTCTGTGCACAGTTTGCACATTCTCCCTGTGTCTGCGTTGGTTTGCTCCGGTTTCCTCCCACAGTCCGAAGATGTGCAGGTTAGGTGGCTTGGCCAAGATGAAATGCCTGAAGTGTCCAGGGATGTACAAGTTAGGTGGATTAGCCATGGGAAATGCAGGGACAGGTTAGGGTGGGATGTTGTTCAGAGGGTCTCTTTCACACTGTAAGGATTCTATGTACTGTTCTAACCCATCTTGTGTACTTCAAGATGTGCTCCTTAGGGCTTCAGTATGACCAATAAATTCATTTCTAAGTATAACTGGCCTTTCCCTCTGGGCCTGAAGATAGGCCATCAATATGGGGCAGTCCTTCAAATCCTACGATAGTAGGTCACTCTGCTCTCATAGGAGAAATTGGAATTTGGGGCACAATTTAAAAATAAGGAAATGATATTGAAAACTACTAGTATTTGAAAAGGAGCTCACTGGACGTCCACTTTGAAGCAAGCAAAATGAGTTGGACCGGCATATATCATTAGTCATGTTCAGAGGTTTTTCCTCTGGGAGAGGAGAAATTTCTTTTGAACGTTGGTTGTCTTTTGCATTTTCTTCCGTGGAAAACAATAAAAAGTGCAGACTCTGTTTAGTGAATCGATTGAAGACTGATTTTAAGTGTTTGATAATCAGAGGTTTCAAAGTCAGGAACAAAAACAGAAGTTGCTGGAAAAGCTCAGCAGGTCTGGCAGCATCTGTGGAGAAGAGAAAAAGTCAGAGTTAAACGTTTCGGGTCCGGTGACCCTTCCTCAGAACGGACCCGAAGCGTTAAATCTTATTTTTTCTCTTCTTCACAGATGCTGCCAGACCTGCTGAGCTTTTCCAGCAACTTCTGTTTTTGTTCCTGTTCGACAGCATCCGCAGTTCTTTTGGTTTTTGTAGAGGCTTCAAAGTCTTTTGGGGGGTGGAGGGGCAAAGAGAAAAGTCAAGTTATGGCCCAGTTTATATTACCCATGATGTTATAGAAAGATAAACAGGCTTGAGGGCCTGAATGGCTTTTTGCTACCCCGATTTCGGATGATTGTATGGGTTTGGGATGTGTGTTATGGACTGGACTAGACCAGACCCCTTCAAAATATTTGAAGGAGGTAGCTCAGACCCTAACTACTTCTTCTTTTGAAAGGTAGATGTGAAGTGCCGTGTTCCAGATGCGATGCAGCTGGTCAAAAGACTCAACGTTGAGCAAAACACAATTTATTTAAATACTGTAGTTAAAGTACTAACAAAAGAGGAATTTGGAATAACTTAACTATTGGAAAACCCAACCAAATAATAGATACAGTACCTATCACTAATTAACTGTTCCAATATAGTAGCATCCCATAAACACACCCCTTGGCAAAAAGGTAAATTCCAGACACCCGTTTCTTACGTGCTGTTTTCAAATCCAAGAGGAAAAGACATCGAGAGATTTCAGAGAAAGTAGCAGCTAGGAAACATTCACTGAAGCTTCCAACTCTTTTGAGTCTCTAAACAGCTTCTGATACTACAGTTTAAAAAAAACTAGGAAGCCTGGTCTTTGGGAGCTGGCCACTCCCATTCAAGCTGCTTCCGTTGTTCCCACTTTTTTCAAAAAAACTGAAGGTCTCACACGTTGTTTACATAAGCCATCTTTAGTAGCCACTTCATCATCTCTGCCTTTACAACTTCTCTTTTTAAAAAAAACACAACCTGGGACGAAATAACCTGTTCAAGTGACAATGTGGCCACATGGGTGAGAGGTTAAAGGGTTAGAAACCCAAATCTTGACCCAAACCTGCTTTCGCAACATCCGTTATGAGATTTATGGTGGGTAGGATGAAGGGAAAACGCTGTCAATTTAAATCTTTGATGTCTAATTTTAGAGGGGGAGGGCTCTGCTTCTCAAGCCTGAGAAAAGCTGGCAGCAGCTAACCCCCAAAAGATGCGATTGCATCCAGGAGGCGAATGCTTTCTGTTCAGCTCCTCGATCCAGTATGAGCAGCCCTTGGATATCAGCTACCTCCCAGCCCTCAACCGTTCTGCTTTTGTACCACTTGAGGCTTGAGTCCTCCTCATTCCCAATCCACTTTCCTCTGGCCTTTGGTTTTCCCTCCTCTCTCTGGGTCTCCTCCTTTCCAGTTTTATCCCCTGTCCCTTTTCAGGTGTCTGAACCCCTCCTTCCTCGCATCCTCCTTCCTATTTCTCACCACTGCACCCATTATCTGGACTGACAATGTGGCACGGATATCTACATTGTGTCTTTGTATAGTTACGGCCGTGTTTGCGCCATTTTGATACCCAGCTGTGAATTGAGAGATAAGCTTCTTGTATTGCTAATTCGTTTTGAAAGCTGGTCACAGATGGTAACATTTAAAGCATAATAGGACCACCATGAATTATTCAGTCAAAAGTGATTTCTGCAGTAACGCTGAGCATGTTGTGTGGAAATGGAAATGGGAAATATTATTTATTTATGTTCTGGGTTTGAAAGGAAAACATCTAGAGTATTGCTGCGCCATGTTTCGCTAAAACAAACCTGAAGTCACTTAACCAATTGTCCTTTAATTTGTTGCAAGAATATTTGATGCGTTTTAAGGCTATTGATACTTAACTTAATTGGCAGTGTTTTCAAACATGATTTAGAAGAAGTTTCAAAAAAGTGCTGTAAATTACAGTCTATAAGTCGACGTCTGAAACCTCATCCTCTCTCAAAAAAATGAGCACATGGGCAAATACATGAATAGAAAGGGAATAGAGGGATATGGATCCTGTAAGTGAAGACAGTTTTAGTATGGAAGGGCACAATGTGTCAGCACAGGCCTGGAGGGCCGAAGGGCCTGTTCCTGTGCTGTATGGTTTTTTGTTCTTAGTATGAAAGTGTCCCTCCAACATGTTGGTAAAGTCACTATTTTGTGATGTAATTGGCATCTAATGCCAAGAATGAGTATGTCTTAAACTCTCACTCATATATTTGTAGCCCAGCACATATTGCCTAGCGATTTTTAGCCCTGAGCTATAAGGTTTCTGCAATTGAAGCACGCGTTTGTGTTGTGAAAAATTGAGATTGACTTCAAATGCCAGTGTCGCCAGTCATGGCTGGAATGTTTGGCACTTTCTTTACTCACCCATGGGACGTAGGTGTTGCTGGCTGGCCAGCATTTATTGCCTCTTCCTAGCTGCCTTTGAGCTCAGTGGCTTGCCAGACCATTTCAGAGGGCATTTGAGAGTGAGCCACATTGCTGTGGGTCAGGAGTCACATGTAGGCCAGACCAGGTGAGGGTGGTAGATTTCCTTCCCTGAAAGACATTGGTGAACCAGATGGGTTTTACCTGACAATTGACAATGATTTCATGATCATCATTAGATTCTTAATTCCAGATTATTACTGAATTTTTATTCTACCGTCTGCCACGGTAGCATTCAAACCCAGGTCCCCAGAACATTAGTTGAGTTTCTGGATTAATAATCTGGTGATAATACCACTAGGCCATTGCTTACCCATTGTTTTTTTTTGGGGGGGGTCATAGGATGTGCAATTATATGAAAATTCATGATTTTTCATGGTCATAGAAATGGGGATAACTTAATGTCTAGCAAAGCTTGTACTCTACAATTTACGGTATTCCTTGATATATTTAAGAGTAGTCAGTTGGGAAAAAAGGTTTAATTAAATTAAACACTTTTTCAATCACCATGTCAATCCACCATTTGTGAGTAACAGAATTAGAAATGATTTAAAATTATTTCCAGTGCAACAATTTGCTGATTGTATTGACATTAAGTAGCCATTCCTTTATACTGTGAAACGCATTCGTATTGTAGTTTAATTTCTAAATGACTTTTTCTCCCTTTCACAAATTATGTTATTCTAATTTCATTTTACCGTATTTGGAAGCTGTATCTGTGTTTTATTACTGACAGGTGTGAACTCCTTCCTCGTCTACATGGCTTACAAAGATTTATATCAGATGTCGAATGCTGAGGTAAAGATTTTTTTTCCCAAAATGAAACCAGTACACTCTATATCGTGGCTTCAGTTGTGAGTACGTCTGTCTCAATAGCATGATATCCACATGGTAACTTCTAAGGGTAAGGATTTGGAGTTATCCTGAGGTTCTACAATGTTGTTTACTGCCTGATTGTCCTGAGGGGTCACAGTATTGGTTACTGTCTCGAGTGACCCATCAGAAGCACCGCTATTCATGTGGCCAGCTTATCTGAAAATTTACAAGTGCCAAGCGAATTCTGAAATGATAACTCAAGCTTTTTGTCCTTCCATCCCCTCATAAAATGCTTCAGGGCCTTTGACCGCTAATATGCTGGGCGGTGCAGTGGCTCAGTGGTTAGCACTGCTGCCTCACAGCACCAGGGGCCCAAGTTCGATTGCAGCCTCGGGCGACTGTCTGTGTGGAGTTTGCACATTCTCCCCGTGTCTGCGTGGGTTTCCTCCGGGTGCTCCAGTTTCTGCCCACAGTCTAAAGACGTGCAGGTGAAATGAATTGGCCGCGCTCAATTGCCTGTCGTGTCCAGGGATGTGCAGGCTGGGTGGATTAGCCATGGGAAATGTGGGGGTTACAGGAATTCTGTTTGGAGGGTGAATGTGCACTCAATGGGCTGAATGGCCTGCTTCCACACTGAAGGGATTCACTGATTCTTTTTGATGAGCTCCTGAGGTACCAGGCCTCACTCCCTTTCAAATAATCCCAGGACCCTTGTTTGCGCAGAGACCCACTCAAAACCCTGGACAAGGAAGGAGACGTGGCTACCTTCAGATTGGACACAGCTTGTTGTTATATTGACAAAACGCTAACCGTGCACATTTTGGGGGGATATTTAATCCTGGGTTCAAAACTGAGAACTTAACAAATCACAAACGAGGAGTGGGCATTTCATTTCTGTCAAATCCAACTTTCTGAAACCGTTCCAGCACTTTGCTGCGATGTGAACCCCAACGCGTGTTTTTTTAATGTGGCAGCGTGTTCTGTTTCTCATCAGACTGGATGAGTTAGGCCAGCCCAGGGTGGTAGCTGTCTGTGGAGACGTAGCCTGTTTCTGACAAGTGTGGGCCTTTCGCTCGCCGTTCTATAGGAACCGTGAGCCTGCGTATTTCCGATGCCAGACTTCCCATGTTATCACGGAGAATGGCCAGTAAGTACCAGGAAAATTGGGAGGAAGCCCTGACTGAACTGAGCCCGCTTTTCAGAATGCTATATTTTCCAGTGAGCGAGATCGGCATTGGATGTATTTGACCTTGGTAAGGATCCACTCCAGACCTCTGTGGACACTCAGTAGTGACATTTTCCCCTTTATTCAGCCATCTGAATCCATTACATCGTTGGGGTGTTTTGAGGTGTTGGTGGTGAGGGAGGGGTTCAATCTGTTTTTGGGGATGTGGGTGATTGCTGGCTGGGCCAGTATTTATTGCTCATCCTTAATTGACCTCGAGAAGATGGTGGTGAGCTGCCACCTTTAAACTGCTGTAGTCCCTACGGCATAGGAACACAGGCATGTTCTTGATGAGGAGAGTGTTTCAGGATGCTGACACATAACAAGAACATAGTTCCGCACCAGAGTGGCGAGTGACTTGGAGATTGAGCATTCTGATTAGTCAATAACTTAATTATTGGGTTAGGGCGGTGAGGTACAGAGGGGGGGTGAGTTGGTGAAGGCTGAAATTGATGGACCTTGTTTGTAGCTAGTTGTGCTCTGTATAGTGGCTAGATAGCCAAGATGTCCTTAGGCACTCTCTCCCTCCGCTCTCCACCGGTTATACCCGTGAGAAAGGAGAAGTGGGAAAGTTTTAAACTGGACGGTGGGTATACCACAGAAATGTCAGCTTGTACTGGGTGGTTAAAGACCACTTTGGTCTGACTGACTAGCCCCAGAGGAGAAACCAATTGTACGAAACACAGAAGATGTTGCAAACAGTGGAGAAATGGTTGACTCAAGACCAAAAGTATGACTTTTATCTATATTTAATTAATGCCTTTCTTCCAAGGTTCTGATCTCTATTGCTTGATTTGAGTCATAGGATGGGAAGGAGAGATCAGAGAGTTGAGATGCAAGGATGAAGTGAAATCACTTGAGTTCCTCAGTTCCTGCCAGACTCTTGTGGGCTGCTAATGTAGCTAGTGATTCTTGATGAGGAAACATTTATCCATCCGCTGGAATGGGGAATGTTGAAATCCATTGCTGAACCTGGCTCAAACCCATCATTTTGATTTTTTTTTTCTTTCCCAATCTCTTTTTCCAGCTCTACGACATCTGCAAGTATGTGGGAGACGTTGGAGGGATAATGCAAGTCCATGCAGAGAATGGAGACATCATTGCCCAGGTCAGTGCAGTGAGACTTTGGGTCGAATCTTTGGGAAACGCAGCCATTGAACACTTTTGAGGACTGTTTCTTGGCTGAACATGGCTTTTGTGCCTCTCCCTCAGATGCAAGTCCAGCCTTGGGGAGCACCAGTTAATCTGATACCATGTATTACTGAAAATAAATGATCAGTTGAGTGCATTTTGCAAAGCTCTCCACTTTTTTGAGGTTTTCCTCAGTTCTGACTGTATTACACATTGATTCATAGAGTTTGACCGTATTTAAATAGCCCATAACTTAATTGTTGGATTATGGGGTGAGGTGGGGAGGGGGGTAAGTTGGTGAAGGCTGATCTTGATGGACCCTATTCCTCTTCCTTCCCCCCCACCAAAACCCCAACACCAGTTCTTTTCAATTTCTGGATTTGAATTTCGAATTAGATGCTCCTCGTCAGTGAATTTCATTCGGCAGTGTTTATCGTGTCTGCATTTGGCAGGTTGAACATGGTTTGGTTCCCTTGTTACAGGAACAGAAACGCTTGCTGGAGATGGGGATCAACGGTCCAGAGGGCCACGTACTCAGTCGGCCAGAGGAGGTAACGAGACGAGAAACTTTAGACTCTTCCTGCATGAAGTATTTTGTCGCTGATGTAACATAGGGAAACACAGCAACCAGTTTGCAAACAATACCAGCGTTGCCTAGTGTTGGGGTAAATGACAGTGTTTGGGGGAACAAGGGTGCTGGGCAGCTGCGTTCAGATTGTACTCTGCAGTTTTCAGTGTCTCTCGTAATGAGCCTGCAGATGCTTTAAACAGCAATGCACAAAGAAAAACATACAGGGAATCAGATAAAAGTTGAGTTCCCTTTGTTACTTCTGCTTCAGCAGGATTGACTTTTGACCTGGTTTGGGTATCTTACAATCTGTGTTCTTCTCTCTCTGTGAACGCCAATGCCGATTGCACAAAAATATTTCCCTTCTGAAGAAGGGTCCAGACCTGAAACGTCAGCTTTCCTGCTCCTCTGATGCTGCTTGGCCTGCTGTGTTCATCCAGCTCTACACCTTGTTATCTAAGATATTAACCTGCCTTGGTTTCACATTGGCACCTGCCTCTTATAGAGAGTCCTAGAGTCCGGACACAGACCCTTCGGTCCAACCAGCCCATGCTGACCATGTTCCCAAACTAAACTAGTCCCACCTGCCTGCTCCTGGCCCATATCCCTCCAAACCTTTCCTACTCATGAACTTACCCAAATGTCTTTTAAATGTTGTAACTGTACCCACATCCACCATTTTCTCTGGCAGTTCATTTCCCACACACCAACCACACTCTGTAAAATAAAACAAAAAGTTGCCCCTCATGCCCTTTTTAAATGGTTCTCCTCTCACTTTAAAAATATGGCCCCTAGTTTTGAACTCAGCCTACCCTAGGGAAAACACCCTTATTATTCACCTTATCTATGTCCCTCGTGATTTTATAAACCTTTATCAGGTCACCCCTCAACCTCCTGTGCTCCAGTGGAAAAAGTCCCAGCCTATCCTTATGATACAAACCCTCCATTCCCAGCAGTGCCCCGGTAAATCTTTTCTGAACCCTTTCCGGTTTAATAATATCCCTCTTGTAATAAGGAGACCAGAACTGCACGCAGTACTGCAGAAGAGGCCTCACCAACGTCCTGTACAACCTCAACATGACCTAAAGTTGAACTCTTTAAAGAGGAGTTTCTCAGCTGTTGATTTTCTGAAGGGTATTGAATGAATTTCCTTTGGGGTTGATTCATGAAGCCTCAGTGTGATCGCTTCCTACTGAGGGAGCTAGACCATTCTCAAGCCAGCCGGGAGTAACTCCCTAAGAATGACATTCATCGCTTGCCCCAGTCAGAGCTAAGAAAGAGTAAAGATGTTTGGTCACTGTTGGGATTCATGGCTCAAGTCAGTTGCTTGGCAACACTTCCTTCTTGTTTGAATAAAAACAAACCATGTTGACTGATTCAAGTTCTAGTTCCTTTCTCCTGGTCAAGGCTGTTGATTGGCTTTATTGTGGTAACACTAGACCTGCAGAATTAAAATAAAAACTGTGGATCACACATACGGCTTTCCTCTGTAACGCTGGTTTGCAACCTTAGAAAACCATACTATTTTTGGAAAAAGAAAATACTTTATTGCATTTAGAATATGACCACTCAAAATCAAGAAAAGTCAACCATGTGGCTAATGATTGAGAAACCATTATTTTATGGAAGGTAAATTATTGCAAAGAAATGGGATAAAAATGTTAAATTTAAAAATAATGAAGAAGAATAGAAAACTGAGGGAAGTTAGGAGGAACAATCAAGGTTTGTAATTTTGGCTAAGACTAATTTATTGAACAATAGCTCTTTATTTTAGCTTCACAATGAGCTGGAGTGAAAGGGTGTACGAAAGTCTGCTCGGTCCTGCTCACAGAGGAAGTGTTAATTTGCTAAATGTTACAGAGAACATACTGATGTATGCTTAACCAGCTCTCTAGCAGAGTACTTTTTTAGAATTAGGATGGATCCTGTAGGACATCACAGTTAATGGTTACTTTACAATCATTCTCTTTGAACAATATTAATGCACAAAATTACTCCAGTGTGGTGCTGAGGGTGTACTGCATTGTCAGACGTAATGTATTTTGGACAAGTTAGATGAGATCAAAGCCCCCTCTGCCTGTTGAAGTGGAAATAAAAGATTCTGCACATTTTTACAAAGAAGAGCGATGGAAATTATTCCTGGGCAGTATTTGAACCTCAATCAACATTGCCAAAAATCAGATTATTTGTTCACTATTACATTGCTGTTCGTGGGAGCTAAGTCTATGTAAATTGGCTGTTGAGTTTCCCACAATGCACTGGTGACTTCAGTTTGGAAATAAAGTATATTGAGACATCTGAAGCCTGTAAAAATACTATGTAAATATCTGTTTTATTCAAATGATCCTTTGATGTGTCGACTTCATTATATTTGGCAGTTTTTCTTTTAAAAACCCGTGCGTCAAAAGTTTCATTTGGTTAAACTCCTGTGTTGGAATCAACCAAAATTGCTGGAAAAGCTCAGCAGGTCTGGCAGCAACAGTAATCTTCTGAAAGCACAGTAATCTTCTGAAGAAAAGTCACTTCTCCCAAAACATTAACTCTGCTTTCTCTCTATGGAGAGAATTCCTTTTCCAGCAATTTCGTTTTTTGTTTCTGGTGTCCAGCATCCGCAATTGTTTGGGGATTTTTTGGGGGGTTTAGATCTAGTCTATGCTGAAGTAGCTGATTCCATTCAGGGTTGTACTGGCTATTCCACAAGAGGAAGAAGGAAAAATCTTCTGGAGGGACTTTTTCACTGGAGTGAAAGAGTTTGAGGGGCCTTAGAGGTTTATAAAGTCATGAGTGGTATAGATAGGGTTAATGGTGGGTGTCTTCACCTGAGGGTGGGATTTTCAAGACTGCAGACATATTTTTAAGGTGAGCGGAGAGATTTAAACAAAGACATGAGGGACAGTTTTTTTTTGCCACAGGGTGATTTGTGTGTTGAATGAACTTCCTGAGGAAATGGTGGATGTGGGTACAGTTACGTCTAAAAAGACATTTGGATAAGTACATGAATAGGAAAGGTTAGGAGGGAAATGGGCCAGGAGCAAGCATTTAGTTTGGAATTATGTTTGGCATGGACTGGTTGGACCGAAGGGTCTGTTTCCGTGCCGTATGACTGTATGACTCTATAAATTTGGGCTGGATATTGAGTAATATTGGGATGAGACTGGATGAGGCTGTATTGCTCCATAATTTAACAGCCTGTGGACACGAAGACACTTTTCTTGTAAAATTAAAAACTTAGTCAAAACTCTGACATAGTAAGAACTGCCTGTGCTGGAGTCAGAGATAACACAGTGTGGAGCTAGAGGAACACAGCGGGCCAGGCAACATCAGAGGAGCAGGAAAGCTGACGTTTCAGGTCGGGACCCTTCTTCAGAAATGGGGGAGGTGGAAGGGGGCTCTGAAATAAACAGAGAGAGGAGAAGTGGGGCTAGGGAAGGTAGGTGGGATGGTGATAGGTGAGTGCAGGTAGGTAGTGGTGGGGATTGGTCAGTGAGGTGGGACAAGTGGATAGGTGGGAGAGAAGATGGACAAGTTGTGTCAGCTGAAGGAGGCGGGGATGAGAGGGAGGGTTGGTCATGGGATGAAGCTGAGCGTGGGGAGATTTTGAAGTGAGTAAAGTCCACATTGAGACCACTGGGCTGTAGGCTCCTGAGGCGGAATATGAGGTGTTGCTCCTCCAGTTTGCAGGTGGTGTCATTGTGACACTGGAAGAGGCCCAGGATGGACATGTCACCCAGTGGGAGTGGGAGGGGGAGTTGAAATGGTTCGTGACTGGGAGTTGTTGTCGTTTGTCGCGAACAGAGCGCAGGTGCTCTACAAAGCTGTCCCTGAGCCTCCGCTTGGTCTCACCGATATAGAGGGGGCCACATTGGGAACAGCAGATACAATAGACCACATTGGCAGATGTACAGGTGAACATCAGTCTGATGTAGAAGGTTTTTTTGGTTCCTTGGATGGAGGTGAGGGGGGAGGTGTCGGGGCAGGTGTAGCACTTCCTGAGGTTGCAGGGAAAAGTGCTGGGGGTGGTGGGGCTAGTGGGGAGTGTGGAGCGGACGAGGGAGTCACGGAGAGAGCGGTCCCTATGGAAGGCAGATAGGGGTGGGGAGGGAAATATATCTTTGGTTGTGGAGTCAGATTGTAGGTGGCGGAAAGATACGTTGAATCTGGAGGTTAGTGGTGTGATATGTGAGGACAAGGGGGATTCTGTCTTTGTTTTTGTTGCGGGGAGGGGGTGTGAGGGCAGAGGTGCGGGAAACTCCAGAGAGACAGTCGAGAGCGTTTTCGACCGCTGAAGGGGGGCATGTTGTGGTCCTTGAAATAAGAGGACATCTGGGATGTTCGGAAGAGGAATGCGCCATCTTGGGAGCAGACCTCCCTTATTTATGTTTATTTCAGAGCTCCCTTCCCCCTCCCCCATTTCTGAGGAACGGTCCTAACCTGAAACGTTAACTTTCCTGCCCCTCTGATGCTGCCTGACCCGCTGTGCTCCTCCAGCCCCGCACTGTGTTATCTTGGTCAAAACCCATTCACTTGCGCAGAGTTAAAATTGAGCTGTTTGTGCCCAGTTTTGATGGAGATTGAGATCACTTGTGCCTAGAACCAATTTGACTTACAGCTCAGTATTGGGCCAGTTGCATCAGGGGTGACATTGGGAGTAAGCCGATGGTAAAGATCAGCGACGGGGAGGGAAAAATTGCTTGGATGCTTCGAGAACTGCAGGAAGAGCAGAGCGTAAACTACTAGATTTGCGTTGTTGGAACTAATTCCTTTGAAAATCAATCAATAAAAGGAGCAGCAGTATCCTGAGTTTAAAAAATAAACACGGCGCTGATTAAAAGCTTGGAGTCCTTGAGTGGTTCATGTGTTAGGAATGCTTAACCAGCGCCATGAATGATATCATACATCATATGATATGCAAAAAAAAAGTAGCAACGTTTTTTTTGCCTCAGTGAAGATTTATGCAGGCACTGTTCCTTAGTCTGTATACTGAATACAGGAGATTCGCTTGACGACAAACTGTGAAGATGTGGTTGGGGTGTGTGTCAGGCTCAGCTACAAAGCAGCACTCTCCCACTTAGAGACCATTCAGCTTCACTCCCAGTAAGACCTAAACAGGATTCGGTGGTTAATACTGCTGTAGTCGTGCTCCCCAGCTAGGTTTCCTTTGGACCCTGCATGTTGCTGAGATTCAACTAACACACTGAGCCAGTTTCCGGTAGTCAGAGTCAGAAGTCACACAACACCAGGTTATAGTCCAACAGGTTTATTTGGCCAACAGGTTTACTTGGAATCACACAAGCTTTAGGAGCACAGCATCTTCATCAGGTGCAGCTGACCTTCCAACAGGAGAAATGGAAGATCTTATTCACATAGTTCAATAAACAACATAATCCTCTGGGCGTCTAGAATCAAATTCACTGTCCCATTTTCTTTCAGTTCCAACTTCGACAGATTTTTTTTCCCTGAAGGATGGTGAAGGAGCAGAGTAAAGAAACCTACTTTTGTCGTATTAGCGATCTAAATACCTGTGGTGCATCTCAACATTGGCCCCCAATATCTCCCACTCTAAATGCTTGCTGTGTGTTTTGATGCCTTTATGGCTCTCCCCCAACCTCTTACAGCCCCATCTACCTGCCTGCTCTTCCCTCCAGCACCCCCAGTCATTGTCAGAGAATATCCGGCTCCACTAGCCCAACCTTTAGGAGCGGTTTCCCGGACGATGTAGGCCGCATTAGAGCTCGGGCTGGGTGACCCTGGAGGGAATGCAGAGTCAACCAGGGATGGAGCTGAGCTAGAAGGAAGCTTCTGTTGGTGCTCCATCACTGACATTTGGAGGGGAAATAAAAAAACAAGAAAACGAAACTTTGCTCCAGCCCTAACTCTTCATTCCCCATCCACACTAATCCGTGCAACCTGGTATCCTGTACCTGACCCATCACCCCTCCTACTCTCCAAGCCAATATATGCCGTGTATCCACCCTTTCTGGAGCACCTATGCTGATACATGTCTTTCTTCTTAAATCCTCATTACTCACATTCTACCTCTTGCCCTGTACCTGCCCCTTGGTACCCATACCAATCTATGCCCCTGTACTTCAATACCCCTTATCCCCATCAAGACCTGTATCCAGCCCTATAGCTCCTTGTCCCTCCATGATAACCATGTGCTTCTGTTAATCCCATGGCCTTTTTTGCCTTCTGTGCCAACTTTGTACCCACTTATGCCAACAAATTTGTAATCCCACTTTGAAGAGCATGTACCCACTTTGAGTCAATCAAACTGTGAAATAGCAAGCGCACTACCGTGACAATGGATGGTTGTGAAATTTGTCGCAAAGCTCTAATCTACAAATAGAAAGACTCAGCCTTGTGTCAACAGAGTGAAGCAGCAAGCTCTGATTTTTAAGAAAATTTTGAAGCTTTAATTTTCAAAGATCTAAAGAGCAAGACTTTTAAATAACATTTATGACTCCCTTGGCAATTACTTTTGATAGAATTTTTTGATACTTTATTTTACAGATCTCCTTCCCATCACTTCATTCAATGCTTTTTTGATAAGTGATTTTGACAGGTGTTTACCCTTGCAATGAAATTGACCGTTCATGAAGTTATGCACTTTTTACTGCTGGTGGTTTGCCATTCCAAAAGGCGCCTTACTTTGCCAAAAAAACCATCTCTCCATCTCCAAAGCTCACTTGACCTCAACCAAAGTTATCCCGAGCGGCAGCCTCAATATCCAAAGAAGTACACTAAGGTTAGGAGTCACGTAGTCACTGCGCACACTCCTAGGCTACCAAAGTGTGAATTGAGTGGAGACAGCTGATGGCTTAAATAGATATGCAGCTCTGCGAACTGTGCATGTGAGCCCTGATCTGACCCAATGGTCATCACCACACCACCTCCGCCTCCCCCCCGCCCCCCCCCCCACCCCCTCTCCCCCACCCTCAGCTTGGAAATAGGAGGTGCTGTGTTTGGGTGGGGTGGGACTTGCAATTTCCAGGCTCATCCATCGTTTTTGCTGTGGCAGAAGGAATCTCTCTTTCAAGGTGAAAGAGCTTGTCTTTATTCATCAGTGCATTGAGCATAGGAGTTGGGAGGTTATCTTGCGGCTTGGTTCGGCCACTGTTGGAATACTGCATTCAGTTCTCGTCTCCCTGCTGTAAGAAAGATGTTGTGAAATTTGAAAGGGCTCAGAAAAGGTGTACAAGGATGTTGCCAGGGTTGGAGGGTTTGAACAGTAGGGAAGAGGCTGAATAGGCTGGGGCTATTTTCCCCGGAGTGTTGGAGGCTGAGGGATGACCTTTTAGAGGCTTATAAAGTCATGAGGGGCATGGATAGTCTTAGGAAGGGGAGGTAGAACCCCTCTGATAATTAAAATCAAAACACAAGCCCCCGATCTGTTACAGCGGGAGTAGAAGTCCCCTTCTAATAATTAAATCTGAAGCACCCAGAGAAGCTTGGCTCACCTCGCCTAATCTGTTAAAAAGGAGTAAACTGTTACAGAGAAGGGGAGGTTAAATGAACGAAAATCCCGAATATTCACTTTATAAGTAACAATTAATTTATTTAACCCTAACAGTGAACAAATTAGCAGAACTACTACCGAACCGAACAATTCCCCCCAACTCCTAACTATTCCCTAACTGAACAAAATTCTACTGGTACACTATTGCAATAAACGTAAGTCCCATGATATAACCCAAGCAGTTTAAAAAAAAAGTTGAAACTTATTCTGTGTGGACTTTGAGAGACTGTGTCTTCCGGGATGCTGTTCCTTGTCCACTGTCTCTCAAGTCATAAACACCTTTCTTCCACTTATCCTGCTGCCAGGGATGTTTTTTCTCTGAGGACTCTTAGCTAGAAGTGCTGTGTACCTTTTTATGGATAAGATGGTGCTTTCTGAAAGAGGTTATTGATTTCTTGTGAGAGCTTGGTGCTTATTTCTTAGATGGAAGTTCGCTCTCTCACCGATTGTTTTTTTTTTCAAAAACCCTCTCCTTTTATATACCTTGGATGACATATCAATTTTCTTAGAATAGCATTGGTCCAAAGTTGTCAAAACCATCAGTTTAAATTCAATTAGCCTCCGATCGCTTAGTGTTTGGTTTATATTAATTGGCTGATTCCAGCTCGTTGCCAAAACGTCAAAACACACCTAAGGTTTACAATCACACAGCCAGTTGATACATGTTTCCTTTTCAGAACTGGCTGTACATCTTCAGCTACATACAGTTTTTTTTCCTGCATAAATCTCTAAGCTTAGAAAAACACCTTATCTCTTAAAGGAGCCACACACTGTTCTCCCTGATCATTTTCTTTTTTACAAACAAGTTCTAGTTTCCTGCCTTCCAATTTATGATTACTCTACACAGCTTCGTAACAATAGGGTGAATAGCCAAGGTTTTTTTTCCCCAGGGCAGGGGAGTCCAAACCTAGAGGACATGGGTTTAAGGTGTGAGGGGAAAGATATGAAAGGGACCTAAGGGGCAACTTGTTCAGACAGACGGTGACGCGTGAATGGAACGAGCTGCCAGAGGAGGTGGTGGAGGCTGGTACAAATACAACATTTAACAGGCATCTGGATGGGTACATGAATAGGAACAATTTAGAGGGATATGGTCCGAATGATGGCAAATGGGATTGGATCAGTTTTGGATATCTGGTTGGGTTGGACGAGTTGGAGCAAACGGTCTGTTTCCGTGCTGTATGACTCTATGACCACTCCTATGCCTCTACTCATTGGTAGAGGAGTGGACTTTCATGTCGACTGAAAGATCCCCTGTGCTATGGCAAAGATTCTGGAAATTGCAAGACCCTGCATCCAGTCATGTTCATTTAATGGGTAGGGATTACCACCTGACTTCAGTTGTTTCCAGCTCTCTCATTAGGATAATCTGTGGTGAATTGTAGAACCCTTGTTGAACTAATTGAGAATTAACAAGGTGTGAATTCTTGCCCTCTCTACTGTGTTTGTGTCTGTGTGTAAGGTTCAGATATTCATAGTGCAGTTGGAGCATGTGAGCATTTTAAAATCTCCCCTTCCTCGCAGTTAACTGGAAGGTAGTTGCTTGTTTTGCAGCCATGTTGTTTTTGCAATTTTGGTCCAACTTGTGTATCCAATGTCCATTATTCCACCTTAGCTGGCTGTACTTTCAGCTGACAAGGAGCTGAGCTCTTGTATTCCCTCCCTAAGTGTCTCCTACCCCTTTCTGCTCCTTTTAAAATACTCCTCAAAAATGATCTCTTTAATCAATTTGAGTTTCCTGTCTGGACCATTGAGTGTGGTTGAATTGCTGAGAAGTTCGGGGATAAAGACCCAGCCTCCAAGAGTTGAGCTTGAATGTAGTACTTAGGGCAGGGTGTTTGTTTGGGAGGGTGGGAGGAGATCAACCTGAAGATCTACCTGCCCCCTTTGCCCCTCTTCAAGATGGGCGCTGGAAGAGTTGCCCGATGTTTCAGTCAAAGTCATTAGAACCGACTATGGGATCATAATCTCACTTCTGTTTCTGTGAGTGCAGATCAGCTTTTCTCACCTTAAATGAGTGGCTGCACTTCCGAAGGTATGAGCTTAACTGCAAATTGCTTTAAAATGTCTGGTAGTCGCGAAAGGCATGGCACGTTTTTCTGTTTTCGTCTTTTAAACCTCCTAATCCCTGTATGCTCGAACGTTGCCAGACAATCCACTCTTTAAGTGTCGGGGAAGGCCTACGTGAAAGGTGCTACGTGAATGTAAATGACTGTTACTGTCGAACAGGCGGGTAACAGTTAATGGAAAGACATGTCACCGCGGTGCATTTTCCGCAGAAAAGGTCATTAATTTTGAGCAGGAGATGAGAGGCTTTCACAAAGTTTTTTTTTTGTGTGTGTGTACCCAAGGGCTCCGACTATAACATGTGTTTTTTGTTATGCAGTTGGAGGCAGAAGCTGTATTCCGTGCTATCACAGTCGCTGGCCAGACCAACTGTCCTCTCTATGTCACCAAAGTAATGAGTAAGACTGCTGCAGACATCATAGCCCAAGCCAAGAAAAAAGGTGGGGCCTGACTTTTCCTTTCCTGTCTGTTTTGCCTGATGGATGCTGTAAGCCATTTGGGGTAGAGCACAGCTTTGATGCCAAACCGTTTATTTTTCCTGTTGCTATAGGTAACGTGGTGTTTGGAGAGCCCATCACTGCCAGTCTTGGCACAGACGGCACGCATTATTGGAGCAAAAACTGGGCCAAGGCTGCAGCTTTTGTAACTTCGCCACCGCTCAGTCCAGATCCCACCACCCCCGACCACCTGATCTCCCTCTTAGCGAGGTAAAGCTTGACAGACTGGCACTCGGAAAATAACTGTGCTTTTCTCCCCACAGACCTGCTGAGGCTCTCCAGTACTTTTCAGTTTCAGATTTCCATCGTCCGTAGCTCCTTTGTTTCACATTAGTGGAAGTCAGTTCCAATCTCCACACTGTAGGAAGGATGGTGGAGGCTTTGGATTTAGGGTGTGTTATCTGTAAGGAGAGGTTGGACAGACTTGGATCGTTTTTGCTGGAGTGTCGGAGGCTGAGGGGCGACCGAATAGAAGTGTATAGAATTATGAGAGGCATAGATTCGGTGGATAGTCGGAGTCTTTTTCCCAGGGTGGAAATGTCAGATACTAGGGAGCAGAGGTTTAAGGTGAGAGGAGGAAAGGTTTAAAAGAGATATGCAAAGCCAGAGGATGGTAGGTGCCTGGAACACTTTGCCAGGAGAGGTGGTCGAAGCAGATATAATAGCAACATTTAAGAGGCAATTAGAAAGGCAGGGAATTGAGAGGTACAGACTATGTGCAGGCTGATCTGATTAATTTAGAATGGATGGGCCGAAGGGCCTGTTCCTATACTGTACTATTCTATGTTTGAAAGTAATTGACTGACTACAAACTTGTTACCATGGCTAACATTGGACTGTGTTGGATTTTTATTTTCTGCTTAATTTTTTGCGGAATGTGGGCACTAGTAAAACAGGCCCATGCTTGTTAATCATCTCTAATTTATCATGAATTGACTGAAATGGCATACGTGGCCATTTCAGAGGGTGGTAAAAACCAGCCACGTTGCTCTGGGACTGGAGTCACACGTAGCCAGATCACGTACAGACAGCGAAATCCTTCCCTAAAGGACACGTTCCATGTTACTGATGGAGGGAAGGGACACTTTGATTGCCATGATGTTAAATTTATAGTAAAAGCGTTAATCAGAACATCAAGGTGCACAGGTCCCGTCCAACGCTGTGTCCCATGTCGATATTTATTCGGAATCTTCCTGCTGTCTTGATATGTTGGGCGTGCATTTTGGATCAAGACCCCGATGCAACAGTCAAGTAGGAATCCCAATTGCATGCTGGGAGCTCAACAGTGATTTGCCCAAACTGGCTGATTATAGAGTCACTGAGATGTACAGCACAGAAACAGGCCCTTCGCTCCAACTCGTCCATGCTGACCAGATATCCTAAACTGATCTAGTCCCATTTACCAGCACTTGGCCCATATCCCTCCAAATCCTTCCTACTCATATACCCATCCAGATGCCTTTTAAATGTTGTAATTGTACCAGCCTCCACCACTTCCTCTGGCAGCTCATTCCCATACACGCACCACCCTCTGTGTGGAAAAAGTTGCCCTTTAGATCCTTTTTCAATCTTTCCCCCTTAAACCTGTGCCCTCTAATTTTGGACTCCCTTACCCTGGGCAAAAGACTTTGGCTATTCACCCTATCCATGCCCCTCATGATTTTATAAACCTCTTATAGGCCACCCCTCAGCCTCCGATGCTCTGGGGAAAATAGCCCCAGCGTATTCAGCCTCTCCCTATAAACATGGCAACATCCTAATAATTTTTGTTTCTGAATCCTTTCCAGGTTCACAACATCTTTCCTATAGCATTCCTTTTAAGATTTAAAAAAAATATACTTTTAAGAAGCTTGATCTCTTAATGATTGGTCCAATTGTAAATTTCTTGGATTTTTAAATAAAACTGGTCCATGCGGCGTGGTGACCTTGACCTGGAAGCAATACGCACAGGAAGAAGGTTAAGACCAGAGATCATGTGGCCTGACATTCAAAGGATAGTGATTGTCAATAAAGTCGGAAGCTGAAGACAATCAACACGTAGATACAGACACTAAGAGAAAGCAGATAGATAGGAAAAAATATATTTCATCCTCAAACTTAGAGCAATATTCCCTCACCTTGCTGCCTTTCCAACATCATAACTAACATGCCAACATGAAATGCCTGCCCCTTTGATTTTGCAATTCAAATTATTTTCTCCATTGATGTCTTCGAGATTATTGCTAGTCAATGTTCGTTTGTGGTATCAGTCATCCGATACTTCGTAACTTAAAAAGAAATATTTTGCTTTTAAGCTGTTGACCTGCTAACTTTCATAACAAATTCTCAACACATTACGGAAAAAGTCAGAAGTCACACGGCACCAGGTTATAGTCCAACAGATTTATTTGGAACCGCACAAGCTTTTGGAGTGCTGCTCCTTCGCCAAGTGCAGCTAGCGAAGGAGCAATACTCTGAAAGCTTGTGTGATTCAAAATAAATCTGTTGGACTATACAGTATGGATGTACACACTGTACAGACAGAACCAACACAGTGTGGAGCTGGAGGAACACAGCAGACCAGGCAGCATCAGAGGAGCAGGAAAGCTGATGTTTTGGTTGGGGTCCCGACCCGAAACGTCACCTTTCCTGCTCCTCTGCCGCCTGGCCTGCTGTGTTCCTCCAGCTCCACTCTGTGTAATCTCTGACTCCAGCATTGGCAGTTCTTACTACCTCTGTTGGACTATAACCTAGTGTTGTGCGACTTCGGACTTTGTCCAGCCAAGTCCAACACCAGCACCCCCACATCACATTACGGCAAGTTTAGGGTTTTAAATGTGTTAGGCTGGGTTCCTTTGAGCCCCTGTCCTGAGCACTGCTCAGTTTTGTCTGAGCAGTGAATAGTTAAGCCAAAAATCTCCAGCCTCAGGTAGTTGCAAGTCAAAAGCATTGCAAGATGGCACGTCTGAATAGTGAGTTGTAGAATAACATGGCTCTGGAAATGCTACTGTGTTTCATCAGATTATTAACACGTTTCCTACCGTGGAGTTTCTGTGTTACGAAAATAAGTCCTTTTGGCACAGCCTCCTTTGCATACACTGATCTCTGAATCATTTCTGCACACAACAGAAATTCACTGCTAACTCTGCTCAGTCCAACTCAGAGAGGGCCACAGGATACTGTGTGTAGGAATTTTGCCGGTGCCAAAGTTCACTGGAATTATTCTTAGAACAGAGGAGGTTCAGGGGAAATTTAGCTGAGCTTTTCAAAATGATGAGTGGTTTTGTTAAGATAGATAGGGAGAAATGGTTTCCACTGCGAAGAGCTCAGTTACAAGAGAACACAGATTTCAGATAATTGGCAAAAGAACTAACGAGCTATAAGCCAGTTTTGTCTGTATGATGTGTTATGGTATGGTGGAAGCAGACTTAACAGGAATTTTTGAAAGGGTATTAGGTAACTATCTACTGGGGGAATATTTGTTGGGCTCTGGAGCATGGGCAGGCAAGTGATTCCAGTCCTTCAGAGTGCAGTTCTTTCATCGGCAGAATGGGGTGAACGGCCTCTTGTTCCTTTAGCTAAGTGCCTGGTTATTGTTTGAGTGCAGCGACTCTATAAATGTGAGTTTTTCTATCTGTTGAAGAGCTATCTGCATATGAACAGGAGTTCTAGTCATCATGAGCGACAATCATAGCACGGAATAAAATAGTAACTTTTTTCTATTTTCGTAATTTCTGTCCTGAGTTCAGACCGAACAGGGTTCCAAATCAGAAGCATAGCTGTGGGTTGGCTCATCAGCCATTTAATCGTATTGGACAGATTTACTGTTACTGAAGCATGGAACATTACTGCAACCACAGTCACTCTTAGACTGTGTGCAGCGAATGAAGCATTTTCTAAGTCTGTTGGTGCACAAACTAAGATCAGAATTGAGCCATAATTTAGCAGGCATAACTTTGGCTGTTTCTCCCGCTGAACATGTCAGGGATTACACTCTACTTAATCCCTTGACTGTCTTAGTCCAGTGGGTATATTAAAGTAAAAATAATTTGGTTTTGATTTAACCTTATTTTTCTAACCAATCTGCTCAGTGATGTTATTACACACCTCTGGAGCAGCTGGGACTTGAACCGGGCCTCCAGGTCCAGGGATAGGGGCACTACCACCCCACCATATTGCAGAAGTTTTTTTTAAAGCTTTCTCATTGGTCAGTTGGGCTGGATGTCAGAAATGAAGAATGGTCCCCCTTTTCAAGCGAGGGCCCCAAGTTCTTGACATTACTTAAACCTCAAACATTTCAATGTCTCTAGTCCAGGAGAGAGCACCCTTAAGAATTGGTGTGATTCGCATTTTACTTCTGTACAGCTCCCATGGCCTCTGAGTTAGGTGACTTCTTAGAGCTAATATCTAAGGCTAAAAGAGATGAAGCTAAGAGATTGGGACCTTTATAGAGAATCAATAGAGAGTTTCACCCATAATGGAGACCTAGATCCAGTCCCGTTAATGCCTCTTATTTGGTTAAGGTATGTCAATGTCCTATTAGGTGTGGATAGAATGATACCGCAATAAAAATTTCATGATTGTGCATTGTTGCCAATCAGTTTGTTCCTGTCCTAATAGTGTTTGGTCAAATATTTGCCTCCTTTATTGTACCTCCAGTGCACACCGAACACTCAAACAGATTTCAAAACCATTCTTGTTTTGCAATCTGCGAAGCGCCAAAAAAGAGAGATTCTCCAGGGAGCTTTGTGTTAAGTGCATCTGTAATCTCACACAATATTACATTAGCCTGTGGGCAGACTAATTGTAAACTTGTTGGCTTTTTGTTTATGACTAATACTGGAGGTGGAATGTGGATATCACTGCCTTGTTGTTAAATGACTGTGCCTGGTCTTTCTCTAGTGGTGACTTGCAAGTAGCAGGAAGTGCTCACTGCACGTTTAGCACAGCGCAGAAGGCGATCGGAAAGGATGATTTCACTCAGATTCCTGAGGGCACGAATGGGGCAGAGGAGCGGATGTCCATCATCTGGGACAAGGCAGTGGTAAGTGGAGTTGTTGCGCGAGCCAATCTGTGGTGAGATTGTTTGGTCGCGGTTTTCTGCCAGAAAGCGGCACTCTTAAACATTTATGTGCCCAGAAGAGACATGTTTTCTTTTAATCGATGTCCAGGAATGTGTCTGGAATTTCAGTCCCTTCACAGTGTCGCTGATAGGCAGCTGTCTTCACTTAGAGCCAATATTATGGTCCACCCCAGCCCCCAATCTCCAGAAGTGAATTTTTAAAACCGAGGATCTCAGGCTTTGAAGACCTTTTTGTTTAAGTTCAGAAAATACAGGAATGTCATTTTTTTTTAAACTTGCGTTTGAAAGGAACATGGCCTGTTCCCATCCCTGGCTCTCTGGGAGGCTGAGCGATTGATTGTGAACCGTTTTCTGTTCTGCAGGCGACTGGTAAAATGGACGAGAACATGTTTGTGGCGATAACGAGCACCAATGCTGCCAAAATCTTCAACCTGTACCCGCGGAAAGGCAGAGTGGCTGTGGGCTCTGACAGTGACTTGGTCATCTGGGATCCCGACGCGGTGAAGACTGTGTCTGCCAAAACCCACCAATCGGTCAGTGTCAATCTTTTACCTGGCATTTCTTTTTCTTTTCTAACCTGGAACGAGGCAGTTTGACCTGCCTACTTTGCGATGGCATTTACGCTCCACGTGAGTCCTCTGCCACCCTGCTTCACCTCGGCCTGTCGATTTAAAGCTTTTTCTCAGGTTTATGTAGCTTCTGTTTAAGTACATCAGTGCTCTTTGCTTTATCTATTCCATGTGTGTGTGGGTTACACATTATAACACTCTCTGGTTAAAGATGCTTCCCCTGAACTTGCAAGTGGTGTCCATCATATACTCACACCACATATTTATGTTCATGTCAGTGAACGTGTCTTGTGAATTTCTGCTACATTCCTTTATTGGCTTTATTTGAGACAATATTCTGTTGACAACGCCTTGTTGTGTGCACTGCCATACAAATGGAAACACTTTTACTGTGTCTATGCCTTCAAACCTCTTCTTTATTTTTGTCGTTTTTTATTTGTCCACAGGATGTGGACTTCCCTGGCATTTGGTGATCTCTGTTATCAATAGAATTCAATTATCTCTTTAAAAGTACTGAGGAAAATTCTGACATGTTCTTCATATGAAATAAGTGTAAAGCAGGAGCTTAGTGCATGAAACTGCACTTTCAGAAAGCAGTTTAATTCCTGTAGTTTTGTCCTTTGTTCAGTCTTTGTATCAGCTTCACAAATCAGGGCTCCCGAGCCACTAGGAGAGACTGATGGCAAACTCCGAACCATTTCCACGCAACTGGGAAGCTTCCCACGTTGGATTTGAGTTGGAATTGCTGAGTTAAGTTAATTTCAAGAAACTGGGGCCCAGCTCAGTGTCCCTATCGAATAACGATCACAGTTCTCGTCAGTGTTCTGGGATGGAAAGTGTGTAGGCCTAAAAATTGGGAACGACAAGATAAGAATCATCTCTCTCACACCACCAGCTCAGAAGGTGCTATAATGGTTAAATTACTGAACTATAAATATGGAGTCAGAAGTCACGCGACATCAGGTTATAGACCAACAGGTTTATTTGAAATCACAAGTTTTCAGAGCGCTGTCCCTTTGTCAGGTGAAGTGAGAGAGAAGCACACAGGCACAGAATTTATAGGCAGAGAGATCAAGGGGAAAGAGATCAAAAGACCATACAAATGGGGTGAGTGGAGTGTCGAATAATAAGTCCCTGCAGGTGATCAAAAGTGCCGGATGGTGTGAGTATAGTGTCACCAGCTGAATAACAAGCAAAGGGATGACCTATAATCCGATTAAATGAGGCAGGGAGACATGAAGACGGCCTCAACCTCAGTCTTGGTTCATGTCACACTACATGTGACCCCACTATGCTGTTCTGTATCTGTAACATCTTCCTTACTGTCCTGTTTTGTCACCATCATCTTGATAAATTGTTATGATCTCTCTACCTTGATTAGTTTGTACAGCTTTGGAATACTTATTAGACCCTCAGCATGTGACTCTTATACCGATCGTGTTATTCCAATCATATGGTTTGTTTCCAGCACCACCTTATTTTTAATATTTTGTAATTATCTCGGCCTCATTTAATCGGCTACGCTCCGACAGCTTGTCGTTTCAAATAAACCTGTTGGACTATAACCTGATGTCGTGTGACTTTTGACTTTGTCCACTCCAGTCCAACAGTGGCGCCTTGGCATTATAAATATAGAGAACCTTGCTTACTAACCAAGAAAGTTAGTTTAAATCCCACCTTGGAGGTTTGAGAGTCAAAGTTTGCTTTTGTTGAAAACAATGTAAATAAATCTGGAAATAAAATGATCAGTAATAACTCTGGAGCTGCTAGGTTATGATAACAAAAGCTTGAACGCTAATGACCTACTTCTGCGCTTACATTTTACGGTCAATATTCTTCAGAGGAGACCTGCCCTGGCCGAGATGCATCTCTTGACCTTTACCAACAGGTCGTCTTTTAACATGCTTCTTAAAGTTATCCAAGAATCATTGGCAGATTCCCAAGGCAATCAGGGATAGGTATTAATTAACACAGACAGAAGCACTCATGCCCCAAGAATTGGATTTACGAAGAGTAGCCTGCTAATGCTAACGCTAAAGCCCACGAGTGAGGAATAGTCCAGGATGGTAGCAGTGTTTGGAATCTGCAATGGACAGCAACGTCAATGGAGTGGGGAGGGGTAAAATTACCCGAACCTTTTACTTGGAATGACTTGAGGTAGAATTGGGAATTTTAAGATGGTAGTCCTGGCTATCAGAAGCCAACCAAAAATATTCTGCGTTGCTCAAGATAAAGGACGATGCGTGTGAAAGGATGACCCCAGTGTTACCTGCCATTGTTTCTTGCTACAAACAGGAAGACGGTGCCTATCCTGCTGCCTGCATGTTTGATCAGTAGTGTCCGCAAAGTTTATGTGCCAGAGTTTAGAAGGTTTTCTCTGGATACCAAGGCATATTGTGCGATTGTGAACTGTACAGAAATTGGCGAGCAGAGTAACATGGATGGCTTTGCTTGTCGACATACAAAGCATTTGAATCTTTTACAAGGCATTTTGAGTTGTGGAGGAAGACTACAATCGTGTTTTTTTGAAAATGCTTCACTGTTTTATCTGCTAGACTGGAAGCACTGCTTCAGTTCATTACTCAAGCTCATTGGGTTAGATGGGGTGATGAAAATTGATGAGATCAGAAAAGGTGACAGAGAATGGGATAGGAGCGAGTGATGGCAATGGGTAGTGAATGAGGGCATTGTAGACAATGGGTGGGTTGGATAATTGTGGGGAGAGTTGGCACTGTGATGTGTTAAGGTGGTTAGCGGGATGAGATTTGGTTAAGTTCAGTGATAGGTGGGTAATAGTCAATGAGAGAGACTGACAGTGGCTGGGGGTTGACAGAAGGTTGGGTGATATCTAGTTAAATAGTTATTTCATTTGTACCATGAATTCCAATACCATTGCTACACAGCTGGTTTAAACTCGACCTCCAGGCATAAAGATCAGACTGAAATAGCTGGTTTTACATCACATAGGCTTTAAGCCCACATCAAAGGTTCTGAAAATGTGGCTTCAGTTTCTCTTTCTGTGGGAGCTCCATCAAAGAATTGAACCTTTCTGTGTGTCAGGCTGAAGTATGTGCCCTCAGCTGGTTTTATGCTGTTAATAGCCATCCGTTTCTCCCTTTCATCAGACTTTATTCTTAATCTATCTCAAAGGCATGCATTCATTCCTGGGTCCCATTATTCACTGCCACACTTATGTTCTCAGGATTTTTTTTTCTAATGTCTTAATGAACTTGCAGCATTTCCTACTGAGCTCAGTTTCTTCCACTTTAAGCTTGCATTTATTTATTAAGAGTGAAATTATTTTGTCGCCTCTGTTGTTGCCCGTGCTTCATCCCATTGCCACTCAAAACACCCAGCGGAGATGACTCAGTGGGCTGGGATGTTTCATCGTAGAATCCCGACAGCGTGGAAGCAGGCTATTCAGCCCAGAGAGTCCACGCTGCCCTTCTGAAGAGCATCCCAAGACTCTATCCCTGTAACCCTACATTTACCATACTTAACCTACCTGGCCTGTACATCCCTGGATACTGCGGGGCAATTTGGCATGGACAATCCACTGTGGACTGTGGGAGGAAACCGGAGCACCCGGAGGAAGCCCATACAGACACGGGAAGGATGTGCAAACTTCACACAGACAGTCGCCTGAGGGTGGAATCAAACCTGGGTCCCTGGTGCTGTGAGGCAGCAGTGCTAACCACTGAGCCACCACGCTGCCTTTGTGGCCGAACCCATGCTTTCCCGAGCCAGGACTTGCTGAGGATACCCCTCCTGTGACATTGGGGACGTGAACTTTGCTCAAATAGGATTTTTGAGTAGAGCAGCCTTCCTTGTCAAATATGATCACTTGCAGTCAGTTGATTAAACCAGCTACTGCTGGGCAATCATGGGGGTAAGATACTTCAATACAGTCTTTTATAGAAATACTGGGAACATCTGGTTCGTGTAGTCCATTTGGGGACTGAGATTTGATCTGTTATCAATGGGTTGGCACCGTTTTCCTGCGTTTTCTCCCTATATGATAGTCCTCCCAAATCAAAAACTCACTCTTGAAAGCTCCAGTTGACCCCTCCAGCTTCCACTGCGTTTGCAGAAGATGTTTCCATTCCCGTTTGTATGAGGAAAGTACTTTCTGATCTCACTGTTTCATAGACCGCAAAGCTTGGGCTTGTGATATGCAGAGAGGTTGAGGACACTTGGTGTGCATTGGGGAGTTTAGAAGGATGAGGTAGGAAATCTGATTGAATACTGACAGACCTGGATAGAGTGGACAACGAGAAGATATTTCCACTAGTCAGAGAGACTAGGACCCCAGGGCATAGCTTCGCATTTAGAACTGAGATGAGGAAAAATTTCTTCAGCCAGAGGGTGATGACTCTGTAGAAGTTATTGCTGCAGAAAGCTGTAGAGGCCCAAGTCTTCAAGTGTCTTTAAGACAGAGAGAGAGAGGTTTGTGATTCGTCAGGGGATGAAAGGTTAGGGGGAAAAGACAGGAGAACGGGGTTGAGAAACACATCAGCCACGATCAAATGGTGGAGCTGACTTGCTGGGCCGAATGGCCAAATTCTGCTCCTATATCTTATGGTCTCTCTGGGTTGAGTGATGCACAACAGACACCAGTCAGGAGTTTTGTACCAATGAAGGGTCATTGAACACTGACCCTCCCTTCTCTCCACTGACACTGCTTGAGGTTTTTTTTTCCTCTCCTATCCTTCAGGTTTCCAACGTCCACCGTACTTCGCTTGTGTAAATCGGGCCCTGGCTCCTGTTTTCCTAGCTAGTTTCTCCTGGAGCAGGTCATCAGGGTGTGTCACTCCCCACCAACCCCAACTCTCTGGCTGCCCTGGAGCCTCTCCTGCTCTTGTGAGCCGTCGGGGCACCCTCTAAGGATTTTCCATTCGACCGTCGACCTGTTTTGGCCACGAACGCTCTTTGGCCTCTTCCACGGTCACAGAATCCCAGGAAGT